GGAAGAAGGACGGTCCTCGCGTACTCAGTCACCTCCAACGGCTCATAGCCACCATCCTCCGGCTGGAAGCGCGTCACCCCATATCGCGTACCAGGAAAGAGGACGGGAGCGGACCGACGTTGACTCCAGTCGCTGGCGTGGAGACGATGTCGCAGCCAGTGCAAGCGCATCACCTCGTTCTACTGATAATCTCCAGCGGGGCACGTCGAACCGGAGCTCCAGAGCTGATCTACCCATCAATCTCAAGGAGACGAGCACCTTTTCTACACCAAGTCCTGAGTCTACCAAGTCGAGCGCGATAGTCAAGGACAGTTCAACCGTCGACTCTGCAGGGTCGAGAACCCTGGATAGTTCTGTGACCGCCCCGTCTCGTCCATCGAACGAGCTTCGTGAGCTACATGAGATAGGCGGTTCGGTAGATTCTACGCGCTCATTTCCATCTCCAAGCAACGTGCAACCTCATCCGAAGCGAGGAGACTCGTTGGAAAAACGACACCATCATATTTCCCGAAAAGAACTCGGACCTAGACCGCCCTCCGTCACTCAAAGCGAGGATGGAATTGAGCGGCCCACGGAGCAAACGGTCTCCAAGAAGAACACCCCAAAAGTTGGTGAATCGCCTCGTACCCCCCGCAATGATGCTAATGCGGAGCCGTCCCAACAGCATGCCCGTCATAGCTCGATTAGCACTCTGCAATCGGACACTCACACTCCAGGGTCGCCGTCGTTGTTGCGGTACAGCGGTGGGGGCGATTTCTCCCTGGAAGAAGATATGGCTCGGATCATGGGACCAGAGGAATCGCATGCTGCTCAGAACAGCGAATCTTTCTTGCGACGGGTGTCGAACTCTGTGCGGCACGGCCGAAGCTTCAGCGATAAGGGCTCGCGCGTATCGAAGGATGCCAAGTGGTCCAAGTCCCCCGTCAATGGTACCACACCCGTTCCCGATGCTGGGAGCCCCTCGGGTTCCCCGAGGCCGTCGCACTCAGATGAAGTGGCGTGGCTCAGAAGCGAACTACGCAAAGAACGTCAACGTGTCTTGGAGAAGGAACAGAAGATTGCGGAAATGGAAGCTGTCCTCAACGCGACCGCCGACGTCAAGCAGGTGAACACGGAGCTCAACGAGAAGCGGTCCACAATGGTGGTTCTGGATGCGAAAAAGGAGATCGTCATGCGAGAACTCTCCGTCTTGACCGATCACTTAGAAGCGGAGAAACGTGGCGCCAGCGGGCCTCTTGACCTTGGAAAGATCACCAGCAAGGTCCTGCGTGACTTTGTCGAGTCGCTCCATAAGCTGAAGGAGTCATTCACACCACAAATTGAGGAGCTGGTTCAAAAACGCAACGACGCTGCGGAAGAGCTTGCCAACTTGAACCGCATGAAGGACAAGAGCTTTCAGGAGTTCGAGCAACTGTCCTCCAAGAATGCTCAGTTGGCCGAACTGAACAATCAACTGGTGCATCAGATTCAAGAGCTCTACAAGGCCAATTCAACCGAAGCCAATCGGGGTGCCAATGGCCTTGGCATCTATTCCCACGGCAAGGAAAAGTCACTGTCCGCCATTGATGCACTGAAGGCCGCCAACAATGACCTCTCTGCCTCCATATCCACTGCCAATCTGTCCGAGGAAGCCGAACCGGCTACTGTCGTTCCAGGACCACAGGTCGTTAGTATCCGCAAGGGACAACCTCGTAAGTTCAACTGGAAGAAGGGTGGACAGAACGTCGCCAAGGGCGTTACAAAGGGTATCAAGGGCGCCTTCATGTCAAGCGACAGCAATGCCGCTCAAGATGTCAACCCCGGTCTCCCACGCTCGCAGACACAAGATCCTAGCCGTCAAGGTTTTGGATTCTTCGGAAATCAGAAAAACAAGCAAGCTGGGACTCGAATGCCTCAGACTGATAGTGTTCCGGCTCTAGCAGATCTCGCTCCGACTGGTATGTTTCGATGTCTTGTAATGCCTCTGATATTAAGCTAACCTTGTAGCAGCCCTGTTTGGTACCGATCTGGAGCAGCGCATGGAGCATGAAAAGAGCATCATTCCTGCAATTGTAACCCGATGTATTCAGGAAGTTGAACTACGAGGTGAGATTTTATGCGCTTGGTATTCTGAGATTATTGAACTAACCACATTGGATAGGAATGGATATGGAAGGAATTTACCGTAAATCAGGCGCAAGCTCGGCAGTTCAGACCATTCGAGAAGGGTTTGAACGGTCTCCTCAGGATTACGATATCTCCGATCCCGATCTCGATATTCATGCGGTGACCTCGGCTCTCAAGCAATACTTCCGGAAGCTGCCCACTCCTCTTATCACTTATGAAGTCTACGAAAAAATCATCGACACCGGGGAGATTACCTCAGCGGAAGCTCGTATTTCGGTTCTGCAGAAGAGCCTTGCAGAGCTGCCGCGTGTCCACCAGGACGTCCTGGAATTCCTGGTGTTCCACTTGAAGCGAGTAGTCGAACGCGAGAAGGAAAATTTGATGACAAGCCAGAATATTGCCGTTGTCTTTGCACCCACGATCATGAGACCGGAGAGTTTGGCCCGGGAAATGACCGACGTGCAGAAAAAGAACGAGGTATTGAAATTTCTGGTGGACAACTGCCAAGAAGTCTTTATGGGTATGCAGAGCTGATAGGCTCGAGCTGGTGGCTAAACGTCCCGTTTTCTTTTACTTTCTTACCTTTTCGACCTTTTCTTCTTGGGGCAGGTTTCTTATCATATCCTTTATACTGTCGCAATGTACATATATCGCGACTATGGTCTCCCTTCATCCCTTCACCCTCGATCTTTTTCTCCCCAAAACCTCTGGCCCTCCTCGATGATCAGCGAATTCGCTCGATACCCATTGATGCATTCTCGCAGCACATGTTCTTAGTCCCCTTGCCGTTTTAGAGTATCCATTCCGCAGGCTCGAAGATATTTATCTATGCAATTAACACAGAAGCATGCCATTCACAGGCCCAGATCGTGTACTGGGAGCCTTCAGGGAGAGAACCCACTCCAGCTTTCTGACTCTTTTGCTCGTGATATCAGCTGAGTGGATCAGCGTCAGTTTAGCATCCGGCGGTATTTCCTGTTAAATTACGCCGACCTCTAGTTGTAGTTTCGCGATTGAAAGGCTAGCACAAGCTGTAATAAGGTAAATAGATTGTCCTGGAAAGAACGAAACATACAATTACACTGAGAACAGGCTTTGACCAATTCAGATTAACTCGTACTCGAGTTAGCTCCATCACTGTCATGATCTTGCATCAGAAAGTCTCATCTTCCAACCGCTCTACTCGTCGGATCACACTAGGGCTTTGCTCATCGATGATATCGTCTGTCGTGTCGTTCACTCCGGCAGTGAACAACAAGTCCTCAACAATACGCTTGGATGCTTCCTTGGCTGTATACCTCTAAATTAGCATGATGCTGTACACATGCAAGAGGAGGGTGGTACATACCCGGGGTCTTCATGAGTCGACTCTGTGGAATATGGAATTGCATTGTTTTGGGCGGACTCGGTCCCAAGTTCTCATCCTCTTCGTCGTCAAATTCCTCATCGCTGTCCCAGGCAGAACGCTTGCCACCTCCGTTCTTGGCCGGAGTCAAAACGCTCATCCCCGGCTTCGGGTTGATGCGGAGGTGGCCGCTGGGACGCCGCTTACGGCCGGTACCGGGAGTTGTAGCTTTGAGAGGAGAGGAGAAGATCTCCGCGTGTAGTTGCGGCGCCTCGGGCTCTGGACTGGAGATCGGAGAGTCGTCGAAGGCGTATTTCGATGTGGATGCTTTCGGGGTAACGGTGAATTTGGAGCGGCTGGCTGCGGTGCCATAGCCTTTGCCTAGAGGGGTGGCTTGCACGCGGTAGGTCTTGTCGAGAACCCTGTGCATGACGGGGTCTGATGTTTTTTGGTGTGGGTTGCGGCGGGCGCCTGAGGGTTGTTCGTGTGAGGCGGGCGGAACGAAGGGCGAAGAGGACATGAGGGTGTCGGCTGGGTTGCCCGCGTAGTCGTGTAGACTTGGAGAGCGGCCTGGTGTGCTGGGGAGGTTGGAGTCGTCCATATCGAACGGGGGATCGGTTTCGTGGATCTCCTGCTTGAGTGTTTCGTAGGGGGATGTGTATGACACAGCGGAGGTGATTGTCGTGTCTTCATCTGGTCTCTCATTGGTGGCTACTCGAGGAGTACTGTGAGAGGATACGCCGAGAGATGTGAGCTCAAGGTCGTCAGCCCTATGGTCGTGGCGTTCAGAGGATGGCGTTTCGTAGGACACGGTATCGGTAAGGTTGCTGTGTGTAACGCCTGTGGAATCCTCTGTTACTGTCTGATCTTGTGTTGTATCTTGATCGGGCCTCTCTTCGTAACCGGAAAGCGAGACATTGGCGCTGGCCTCGAAGAACTGTTTCCAAAACTGGTCACATATTAGCCATGGCCGAATGGACCTCTTCCGAGTAACCAACCTTTGCACCCTCCCAAACATCTCTCGAATGTTCCGCATATTGTTCGACTAGAGGAAGAATACTTGTGGTAACTATTCGGTGAGCTTGGCTGAAGTTATGATCGATTTCTGTTCAATTGAGAGATATCAGGTCAGCTTAGAATGAAGGCAACTGGTGAACGGCCATTGTTTGTTTACCTTGCAGGGTTAGAGTGATAGATTGCTCGAGCTTCTCCAGTTCCTCCGTCAGCGTCAGAGGACGCTGAGAAATCGACGACGGACGAGACATAATGTTGGCTTGACTTTCGGAAAGCGATTGTTCGACCTTCGATGATGCGCCTGGATCCTGGTACTGATCTTTGGGTTGACTGTTGACGTCGAGACGCGGGGACAAAACACGGGATGCCCAAAGCGGGCGATAGATAGGGCTGGTGGATAAGGGTTGCTGACATCACGTGGAGCGCAGCGGGGAAGCGCCGGGATGACGCCGTCACCTGTTATCATTTATTCTTCTGCCTGCGATGTGAAGATGAGGAGGAACTGAACAAAGAAGAAGGGGTACAGCTGGTCAGGATGCCTTCGCCAGTCGCAAAAGGTATGATAACTTGTCTCCTTACAGAATTCACTTATCCATTCTTGCCTCCGAGATTCTACTATGTCCCTTACTAGCTGGGCGGTGTGCTTATCAGTATACTACTATGCTGTCGACATGATGAATCGGACATCGCTTTAGCAGCTCGATAATTCCGGCGTTCTGGATTGAATATAGACTGTTGGACTTCGCTAACTCTATGATGAAGGGATAATCATAACCGTTGCAGCGCTCGTCGCTGCTGGTATAGCGGTCTATGAATCGCCACAGTTCCAAGAATGGGTGAACAATTCTCGTCGTAAAATTGCGCTGGCTTTACACAATCTCGGAGATGAAATTCAACCTCGAGACTCCACATCTTCTCCCAGGGAAGATATTTCTATGATGGAAGAGGTAGGGCCGGCGGCAGAAGAACGGAGAAGGATTGCTCGCGAGGAGATCCAGAAGAGAGCGGCTGCTCTCGAAGAACGTCGGAAGCGATGCCAGGGTGGTTTGATTGGATCTTTCGACGCCCTTGTGGACGAAAATGGAAACCTGTTGCGGCCGGACAGTCGGGAGCCGACTGACAGTACGCTTGCAAACTCGACCGCTGTGGACTTGCCGTCATCGCAGCTTGTCCACCGTGGACCCAAAGAGCCTGATGTGTCGGCTTCCGTGAGCGAGATCAGGCCGGCCGGCACCATGGCCGACAGTGATACACTACATTTAGAGATTCCATCTACTGGCAACCATTCCGCGTCTCTTGTCGATCTCACTCCTACTTCTGATGATACAGATATGGACTTTTTTGCCTCAACTGGTGACAAAACGGAAGAAGCCGAGCGGCCTGTGCATTCTTCCGCAACGGATCAAGAACGAATGTCTACGTCGAGTCATACTGAGGAAGGATCTCAAACCATCTATGAGCACCCTGAATCATCACTTATAGACAGCAATCGCGAGCTCCGATCGCCGTTCTCTGACCTGTCCGAACTGAATACCACGGGTTTCGAGCAGCAAGAACGTTCATCTACGCCGTCTACCGCGGATAGTTTCAGCCACGTCTATGAGTCGGCTGAGGACGCAACATCAGATGGCACTCTCAGTGACCTCGGAAGGTCCATGGATGGTGTTGCCACTCCAGCCAGTTGGTCGGAGGTTGGTAGTGTCGTTAGCAACGAAGACTTGGGTCACCACGGATTTTGAGGCGCAGAAGAGAGCTGAAACTATGGACCGGGATACTAGGGCATTTGTACGGAATAGTTGGATCTGGCTGGACGGAGTTTGTGGTCTTTGGCGTTATACTTGCGGTATCATTTTAGTTTGCTCTAATTTCCGAGGACGATAATAGGCTACCAATTGTTTCGGAGCGAGTTTTGATTATAAAACGAACACGAAGTCTGCTTTAACCTTGAGAATCGCATAGTCTCGGGTAAGAGAAATTAAAAGTCACTGTACCAGGTGTACCACCTATTGGGTGCGGTGAAACAAAGTCTGGGTACTTGTCGGGTGTGGTTGGACATGATGAGCCTCGGCTCCCGCTCGGCTTTGCAGCAGTAGATAAACCTCAACTTTTGCCTCTTCTTCCATAACACTTGATATCTTCTGATTTTCTGCTCAAGAACCTCCTGCGGTTCCCTTCCTCCTTCAGTCTTGACATCTGAATATATACCCCGTAAGTCATACTTGATTTGCCCCGAGTCTACCCATTAGTCAGAGCTCCGCATACTTGAGCTTCCCCGCAGACCCAAGGTGATTAATGATCGCCTTGATCCTTGCTTTGCCACTCACCGTTGTGCTCTATGATATTCATCCCACTGTTGACTCACACTTAGAACCCATAGAATTACCGTCACAATGGCCGCAGATCGCCTAAGCTCACTTCTGAACCACCTTCGCCCCTCCGGGGGAAGCGGAGTCTCCGCCATGTATGCTTCATCCTTGGCCCAACCGCGGTTCATCATACTGACCAACGCCAGCACACAGAAGAACCCCGATGACGTTGTCATCACCCTTGCGTTGCGGACGCCACTTACCAAGGCCGCCAAGGGCGGCTTCAAGGACACCGAGCTGGACTACATGATCTACGCTCTACTGAAGGAGGTAGTGCAGAAGTCGAAGCTCGATCCTGCACTCATCGAGGACGTCTGTCTGGGCAATGTACGCTTTCCACTTTGTTTCATTTCTACGCGGAACCCCAATTGACAGGTACCAGGTCAACGACGGCAAAGCCGCCTACCTCGTGCGCGCGGCCGCCCTCGCCGCCGGCATCCCCCACACAGCCGGCGCGTCGTCGGTCAACCGGTTCTGCTCTTCTGGTCTGAAGGCCGTGCAAGACATCGCGAACCAGATCCAGCTGGGCGCGATCGACGTGGGCGTTGCGGTCGGCGCGGAGCTGATGTCTGCAGGCGGCGACCGGCTGCCGCGGCCGTTCAACGAGGAGGTGCTCAAGAACCAGGAGGCGGCGGACTGCATGCAGCCGATGGGCCAGACGTCGGAGAACGTGGGCGCGGACTTCAACATCACGCGCGAGATGCAGGATACGTACGCGGCGGAGTCGTTCCGGCGGGCCGAGGCGGCGCAGAAGGCGGGCTGGTTCGATGATGAGATCGTCCCTATCACGACTAAGGTGAAGGATCCCAAGACTGGGGAGGTCAAGACTGTGACTCTTACGCGCGACGAGGGCATTCGGTATGGTACCACTGTTGAAGCGCTGAACAAGATCCGGCCTGCGTTCCCGCAGTTTGGAAACCGGACGACGGGCGGTAATGCCAGTCAGGTTACTGATGGAGGTAAGCCTTACAACCCTTGCACTGCGTCTGATGTCGATGTACTGATGAAAAATTGTCAGCTGCTGCTATCCTACTCATGCGCCGCTCCAAGGCCATCGAGCTCAACCAGCCCATCCTGGCCAAGTTCTGCGGCGCGACTGTCGCCGGTGTGCCGCCGCGCGTGATGGGCATCGGTCCCACCGCGGCGATCCCCAAGTTGCTGTCCAAGTTCAACCTCAGCAAGGACGACATTGACATCTACGAGATCAACGAGGCCTTTGCCTCGATGGCTGTGTACTGCCTGAAGAACCTCGGTCTGAACCATGCCAAGGTCAACCCGCGCGGTGGTGCGATTGCGCTCGGCCACCCGTTGGGCGCGACGGGTGCCCGTCAGATCTGCACGATTCTCAGCGAAGCGCGGCGGACGAAGAGCAAGATCCTCGTTACGAGTATGTGCATCGGCACTGGCCAGGGAATGGCTGGTTTGTTTGTGAACGAGCAGATTTAATGTATATATCTATCTTCAATATTTCCAAATGTAAATGCAAGTGCAATATGCGAGGGTATTAAAATCGTTACATCATGCCATGTCGTCGGTCCATCTTGAAGAAACCTTCATCTATCACCTCCCTCTGCCCCTCCCTTCTCCCTCTCTCTGCGCATCCTCTCCTCCGCCGCGCGAGCTATAATCTCCCGTCGACCTTCTACACCACCGCTCTCATCGCTCAACCCCCCTAGCACAAACTCGCCCCCAGTCCACCCCCTCTCATCCACCACAGTCGCATCTTTCTCCCGCTCCCAATCCCCGGGATTATAAAACTCTTCATCCGTCAACCTCCTGCCCCCATGCTTCCAATCCGCACGCTCGACCTCCTTCTCGATCTGCGCCGTCAAATCCCAGAAATCCCGATCATGCTCGCTAAACACACAGTGCGCCAGCTCATGGCACAGCGTCTTGCGAATCGTCCGGTAATCGCGGTATCCGTCGTACGCATCCGTGCGCAGCCGCAGCTCGATCACCTCCCCTTTATTCCGGTTCAGGCCGAGCGTCCGGGATTCGCTCGTGGTATGCTCGGCCGGATCCATCTCCGTCAGCAGCGGGACCGAGAAGCGGTGCTTTGCCATGGCGGCGCGGATGCCCGGGTCGTCGCGCAGGCGGGCGAGGAACTCCAGCGACCGCGACGGGTTGGGCAGGTATGAGAGCGGGAGGAGCCGGTGGAAGGTGTAGGTGTTGCTGCCGGCGCTTGAGAGGGTGTGGATGCCGCCTGCGGTGCTGGGGGCGGGGCGCCGGGTGCGGTGTTTTGCTGCAGCGGCGGCGCGGGCTTCGAGGTGGCGGCGGGTTTCGGCTGTTTGGGCGTTCAGGGACTCGATTTCCTGGGCTGGGGTGCCGAGGAGGGTGAGTTTGAATTTGGGGGAGGTGAGCGGGAGGAGGGTTGAGAGTGGGGTCGGCGCGAAGGGGTGCTTTTGCATGCCTGGTTTCGGGGCGATGAGGATTTTCTGGTTCTCGATGGGGATGTTGAGGGTGTCGGCGATGGTGGAGGAGAGGTCTTGCAGTGTTGCGTCCGGGGCTAGGGTGAAGATGTGTGGTTTGCCATGGTGGTGGACCGTTATGGTCATATCTGGCGTTGATGAGTCCGTCATGATGCAGCTCTTCGAGTTAAGATGAGCCCGATCTTGGTGAAAGGAAAGTAGTGAAGGGACGCGATGCAAGATTGGAGTTGAATATATGCCGGAGGCAACACTTCGATTACGTTCCACGGCGATTGCGTTTGTCAGCCGGAGATAAGAGATAAGCCAATACGATCACATGACTTTCAATGCTTGACTCCCGACTCCTGAATCCTCAGGCAGAGGACCGGACCCCTGAGCTCGTGGGATCAGCGCAATCTAATTTACTCTAACGAGCGCACTAGTGTCTGGGGTCGATCGCTATGCTGTTTTCGGCGTTTTGGTATTTAGCGAGCGATTGCGTGGGATACCCCTGGGGAAGCTTTTACGTCCGATCTGGTCATTTCAAGTGTGAATTCAACGGCCTTTCAAGAATCGTCAGGCAGATTACGCAACGAGGTAACGCTGAACGCGTCTGAGCTATGTACAGGTTGTTAGATATAGAATACATCAGCAGGAAATGTCAAAGAACACCGAAACACCAGCCCGTGTACCAGAAGTAAATCCTGAAAAGCACGTAAAACCCCTCGGCAGATCAGTGGGCAAAATGCTATATGCGAATGAAGATCCATGTCCAGAGTATGTGAAGATAATGGCCATATCTGGGATAACTCGGTTGCTTCTAAGGAGAGCGATGTCGCAATCACCGCCTCTCATATTGGCGATCGTCATCCAGCTTGCCTTTGGCGATCTCGTCGTTGTCGGAAACCCATTGTTCCATGTCAGGATACCATGTATGACTGTATCAATCAGTCGCGAGGTTTAGGAGCCAAAAATTCAGGAGAATACGTACTTGTGGTACTTGGTGCTCGTCAACGCTTTCTGATTATATTCTCCGATTAAGACAGAGTCGTAGTCGAAGGGGATCTTGGCCGGTACTCCTTCAAAAGTCGTCTTGCGCAGGGGGTAAATGTCCCCTGTCTGATACTTGTGGTCGTTTTTGTCCTGCCATAGACTGGGTTTCTCCGGTTCCAGCCTACTCAGTCCTGTGATGTCAATGTAGAGACCCGTCCGCCTGTCGATCCACCGCGCATCGATAATGTTGAATCCCTGGCCCCGTTCGCGCTGTCGAGCCCAGGGGTTGACGTCCAGGAGGTAGCTCCGCTCCACGTTGGAGTCGGCAGCCGTGTAGTGGACGACGGTTTGGTTGAACTTGTCAGCCAGGTGCAGCAGGGTGGTATCCAGCACTTGTGTATCGATGTCCCAGTCCCAGGGTAGAACCTACACCCGTCGCCGGCGTTAGCTACAGTCCCTGAACTTCTATGCGCAAAAGTACCTTGCCATTCCACCACCACCCGAGTAAGGTTCCATGCGCAATCCACGTCTCCAGGTCATGCTCATTGAAAAAGTTGAGATAAGCGCGAATCATATGCGTCATGGTCTCGGAGCGCTCTTTGTCCGGGACTGGTTCGGTGAAAAAGCGCGTATCGTAGTGGCCCAGGATATCGTCATTGCCTGGTTCATGAAAGTACTTAAACTCTTGCGACTTGTTTAGGCCGTACTTCTCCCACAGGGGATCGTATTCAGGTTCGTGAGTGAGGATCTTGCCATGGTTGACATGTTCTTGCTTGCTATTGCTGCTGTCCGGGTCGGAGGAACGGACGGGCGATGCCACGGCCTCTGCTGACCATATCGCAAGGATGATGAGCCGTAGAATCAATGTGATCATGTCTGCTGTGAATCACTGAGTATCGAAGTGGTCAAGAAGGGGTATCTGGGGCCGGCGGATGTCACGTCTCTGTTTGCATCCTGGATTGTCGGAATGCG